TGATTAAAATTTAAATTAGGATGAACATATTTTCAGAATGGTACTTTAATATGTATTCATGAATTTCATATAAATACCAGGAGCTCACCAGTAGAATCATAGGTAAATCAGAAATTTACCCTTCATTTGATTATAATTTTGAAATTAGAAAGATTTAATTCTTATAAGGCCCTTACATCAGACCTATTTTTCTGGATCAAATAAATTATTTGGGATTTCCTGGGCTTGGGAAATATTTTTCACCATTAATATGGACTTGGACCTAGTGTTGTTAAATAGTTGAGTTTTATCGACTCTGAACTCGAGCCGTAGTCGTATAATACGGCTCAGACTAGAGCGGCTCAATAAGCCATTTGAGCCAACTCCCGAGCCGACTCCCGAGCCGATTTTATATTAAAAATTATATTATATATAAAAGATATCAAATTTATAAAGAATTATACAAACTATTATTTTATATATATAATAGAGTTGTTAAAAGTTATTTTTTAAATGAATCTAGGTGCAAATACAAATACATCGTCTAAAAATGGATCTAGATGCAGAAATATACAATTTTAAAGATACATCTAGATACAGATACAAATTTTTGCATACTAATATACAGGGTTCGCCGTTGTTCTCGAACAGATACAGCAGATATAATCTTGATCTGTAAATATATTTGGGTTTATTTAGGGGATATATTATATGCCACAAGCTAAGAATCCGTTTAATATATTATTTGGTGTTACTGTAATTATATATTTTAACCGACCCATAACAGCTTTATTACCCTAAGGTGACATATATTATAAACATCGTTATTGCGTGGTGACTTCCCTATAGATTTCAGATAAATTTTATTTTATAACAAATACATTAAGGAACATATGTGCCAAATTTGAATCCTGAGGATATGTATATTTTAGTAAAAGCAAAATATACTAGAGGATGATTTTTATATTTTTTGGGTAAAAAACAGTTTTTTGACAAAATAGAAAAACCAGGTAAGTTTTTTAAAAGATGAACATAGGTATGAAATTAGATATAAAAATACATCTTCACACCAAATTTAAAATCTTTGTGCTCAAGGGTTAAAAAATTATTCGCGTTAACATTGTTACCCCGTCAATCGCTTTAATTAAAAAACGTAATTATAATAAAATACTTTGATCTTCGAACTTCCCTTTCACAAATGAGCTTCTATAAGGGTTAAATATATATATAGGTTTAATTGGGATACTTTAGTAATTTATTCACATTTCCTAAATTTAAGACTACTATATGTCTATTCCTATATAGCGTCAAAAATAAACTCCTTCGGAACTGAACTTTGGAACATTTAAGATTAGTATTTAATAATCAAAATAATATATCCGTAAAATTTATAAAGTCATCAGCATCTTGGTGAGAGGGGGGACATGAGCCATTTGCCTTCATTTTTTTTAAGAAGGGTCGGCATTCAGGAGGTAAGGCAAAGTAAAAATAAACGATATTTTTAGGTTAAAAATATAAAAAAAACTGAAAAACGGATTCTAATCTATTACAAGAAATTTAATTTGCTTTTGGTTGATTAATCAAATTTTAAATTTTTTCACATACAACATTTTGATACAGTTTGAATCTATAAACTCTCATGGTTACTATTTAGATAGCGATTAAACAATAAATAGTTGATTACCACCTATTAAAATGTTCTTTCATCAAAATATTTTTCTTTGAATAGGTAATAGCATATAATTAATTTTTTTCTAAGATATAATTAATAAAGATGAAAAATATAAAGATAGAATTTACGACAAAAAATAAGGGATAAAATAATGAAAATTAGGAAAGAGAAGGGAAGAAGGAAAGCATAGACATGGAAGATTATTCAATAGAAAAGATAAAACTTAGATAGTTAGAGCGATTAATGGCAGTAGAAACTCTTTATCGTAAGAAAAGGGATTCCTTAGGCTGTGCGGTTTGAAAACTTAAACATTAAATCACTTATAATAAAGTTTTACCATTTATTTCTTATCTTTAATTATAAAATTGATTATGATCGTAGACTATTTATTCAAAAAATAATAATAATTTATATTATCCATAAATAAGATATTATTACAAAATATATAAATCAGAAATATGTAAATATATATTTAGAAAATCTATTTAATTTCAATATATATATTTATTATAAATAATTAATTTGGTTTATAAAAATGGCAAAATAAGGACTATTTAATTTATAAAAAATGTGTAAAATTTTTAATAATTTATTTTTTATTTTTTCCTAATTCTATATTGCATTATCTTATAGAATTGATTTAATTATATATATAATAGTAGCCAATTAATACTTATTTTATTTTATTACATAAATATATTATAATACATCATATTTGTAAGAATAATTTTGATCTGACTATCACTGAGTCTACTAGTCCCTAGTTACTAATATAATTAATATCTTCTAAAAATATATTTTGTTGTAGACGTGAAATAAAATGCAAAATAAAATAATAGATTAAATTAAAATAAAAAATATTAATTAAAATAAAATTATAATATTAATCAAAATAAAATTAAAATAATTTTAATATTTGAGTGACCTCTTAAAAAATAGCGATTTCTACATAAACCTTTTAAAAAATATATGGCAAATTTTACTAACTTATTCATTTTATTTTATATTATTTTATAAAACTATATATACTTCAAAATTTAGATATGTTGTATCATAATATTAAATTCATCTATTATGTCTTAAATAAAATTTAATAGTTTTTATCTAGGCCTGCCGCCACTCTGTACTTTCATCATATTTAAACATGATATATAAACTTTGAAACCTTTTAAAATGTAAAAAGAGGGTTATAAATTTGATATAATAGCAATTTTATTATTTTTTAAACTCTTCCTATTTTATATGCCAACAAATATATTATGAATTTAAATTCGAATTTCTAAACATGCCTGGTTTTTTAAATAAAATCGGCTGAACCAGATAAAACCCATTGCGTACTCCCCCTATAGTGAGATATTTGATAATTAAATTTGATCATCATGCTGGGAACTTATTCCTCAACTTAATCATTTCAAATCAAAAATTAATTACGGCGATTCGCAGTTTAAACATTTTAATTTAATATTAATTACCACAACTCGCGCAGTCATGTTAATTTAAAAATTAGTCACGGCAAATTGCATCTTAGTTTTTTTTATAAATTTAACAATTTTTTAATCTTAATTTAACATTAATTTGCGCAATTTGTGATTTACCTATCAATTCATAATTTTTAGCGATTCATATTTTAGTCATGCCCTTTAATATCAATTGTTCTTTCTTTCTTTCTTTCTTTCTTTCTTTCTTTTATTCATTATATAGATTTTTGACAATACAAATTTTAAACAAATCCGCTAATTTTTCATTTGTTTATCTATAACCTTGGCGATTCACATTTTTTTCCTACCAATATTTTCAATATTAATCTATCTTTAATCTAGGTAGATAATGGAAAGCTGTACACACACATATTTAATTTAATAGAATTTAACGATAGAGAACAGAGAGAAAGAGAGATGATCAATTAGGTTTTAGAATACTTTGATTAAATTTCGGACGAATGAAAATATAAATTTTTAGAGAATGATGAAACCTTTTATCTAATTAAATTAACTTTATCATTAATATTTATATAAAAAAATATATATATAAATGGTAACACCGTGATATATATTAAATATATAAAAAAAAATAGAAGGTTTTATTTAAATTCCTTGGAGAATACATTAATCCACTAGAAAAAAAAATTCGAAATCCTATTTTTAAAATTTTTAATATATACCAACATTTAATTTGAAAATTTATAAATATTTAAATACCGCATCTTATCCTTATTTTTGGAATATTTAATTTTATGATTTTTTTTTGTCTTGATTGTTTTTATAATCAAAATTTATATTTAAACACATTATTTTTTTTCTATAAGGTTAAATAATATAAAAATTTACCAAAATCGCTTTTGCATTATAGAAAAAACTAGTGCTCTTAAAGTAACTTAAAATATGTAACTGCCAGGTTACATTTCAAAAGTAACTGTTAGCCACACTGAAAAACATTAATAATTTTTTTGGATTTGTTTACACGTTTGACCTTGCTAGAGAGTATTTATCGGAAATTAATCATTATATATAGTAGGAATGGTTTTTTCATGTTGTAAATATTACTTATAAAAGGTTTTTAACGTTACTACAAATACTACCTTTAACTTTTCAGTAGTACGAGGAGTTTTTCCAACACTCATACAGATACTTATGTTGCTACTACAAGCTAATACATAAGTATTTTAATATGGATAATCTCCTATTTAATACTTCAACATGAATTTTATTACAATACATAACAATTCTGAGATGGAGATTCGATAATGATTTGGAATTTACTGACCCCCCCCCCCCCCCACCCCACCTATATCATTCCTATTTGCCAACTGAAGGGATTAATTAATAATTTTTCAATTAAAATTATTAATTACACAAGAAAGATAAAATATACTTTCCTCACCCCCTAAAGGTTAATAATTTTATAATTGAAAACTTATAAAAATTATTTAAAAAATATAAAAATAAAAAGTGATTTTGCATTAAGGAAAATTATATTTGTCATTTCAATTATTTTATGACTATACATGACATATATTATTTTTTAAAAATTAAATAAGCATTATATTTTATTATAAATTATTTATTTAAAAATATCCTAATTTTCACATCAATTTAAAATTAATTTTTTATAATAGTCCAAGTTAAACCGTTTTTATAATTTTACAAATAACATTAATATCATATACATAGTATTTAATTATTTAATATATATTTAATTCATTTTGAAGAGAAAAAAAGAATTTAATATGAAAAGTCTAAAAATTATCATATAATTCAATAAAAACCAATTTGATGACCAAAAACGATTTTTTTTAAAAAAAAAGGATTTATAAAGTTTTATAATGATATAAATCGATTTCAAGAATTCTCTCAAAAATGATCCCCTAAAATTTTAAAAACAATCTTCCTAATTCTTTCTACAGTGGAATTGACAAAGAAAAATATAAATTATGGTATATATATAGCCCTTTTCTTATCATTTAGTTTTTATTTTATCAATATATAAATGTTGTATATTGTAAAACGAATTATCGTGATTCAAGGATGATCAAGGATTAGATATAATCTATGTGGCACATCAGGAAGAAGCCGCAGAATATTGGAACGATACCTTGAATCCCATGAAACAATGGACGAGCAATTTGAAAGATAATCAAGTTTAAATTAACATTTCACGAATTTGTTCTTTTATTCTTTTTGTAATGATTAGGAAATTCCCTAATAAAGCGCTAAAATTATTTTATTATTTTTTTCATGCCTTGTTATCCCTGTCTCTCGTGTTAATACAGTCAAAATTATTCTTTCGCTAACTTCTCTTTTATTTACTACCAGCGTTATAATCTTTTTCTCCGCTATAAACTTCCGGCGGTTTTTGCTTTTTCGGGTAACGCACCAAATTCTCTATTTTTTTATGTCTGAATCTGAAATATCTAAACTTCTAATTTATGTTACTTCTCTTGATGAACCGTCATTTTAACGTAGTCATGCATATTCTACATAATTTTTCCAAGTTTTACTATCCCAAAATTTTGAATCTCCAAATACTCACATCTTTATCTTAAAAAATCTCCAAAAGCACACTGATCTTGTATTCTGGCTATCCAAACTTTCAGTCATTATAACGGTAAACTCTCTTCTTCTCCTTATTCAGAATCAAAAATTTCTCCCGTGATTTTCCCATTAATCGTCATTTCTAAAAGCCATCTGATGACTGCCTTTAAACATGCCCAGATTTAGAACCATTTTCTGCCATCCCTGAGTGTATTTTCTGATTTCTAACTTAAAAACTACCCCATCATTGCAACGATTTTTATTATTAAAATATATTCTCAGTCATAAAAGTTATTTATCACATTTTATTTAAAACCTCGATATACATTGGATTGATTATCATTAAATGTTACTATTATATTATGATTTTTATACCTCTTCATCCGCCAGAATCGTTAAAACTTTATTTATTGTTCACTTTTTTCGATCTAAGTCTAAACTATACCCCCTTTATTTTTACAAGCAGTAATGCCGTGCTTATTTCTAATTTTAAATAATTTTCATTTTTAAATTATAAGAAAAGAAGAGAAGAGAAAAAGGTTGATAATTAAAACTTTTTTAAAATAAACTAAACTAAACTATATATATATATAACTAATTTAGAGGCCAAATTTTAATTTTAATTATTTTTTCTTTTTTTATTCAATTATAATTATTAATATATATATATTTGTTAGTTCATTTTTTAAAATTGATATCAATTAGTATCATTTTAAAAAGAAATGTTAAATATGGGTAAGATAAGATCAGTTCCAATTTCCAATATTCTTCCAGCAATATAAACATATTTTTTTATATATATATTATTAAATTTATAAATGGATAATTTACGAAAAATCAAAATATTTCTTAAAACGAAATATAGAGTAAAAGAAATTAAAATTAAATTTTTATCTTACAGATTTTGAAGTTATTACAACTAAAACACACAGTTTTGGGAATATAAACTAAAATTATTGCTTATATCTCAAATGGCAGTCCGTTAATTTACCTAATGTATATGATAAAATTTTTTTTCCAATGATATATTTAAAAATATAAATTTACGTGACCCGCTAAAAAGTGGTGCAAGCAGAAAAAGGCCAGGGTACGTTGAAGCAGAAAGCCCTGGCATAAATATTTTAAATTTAACACATTAGAATAATAATTCTACTAAAAAAAAAATATTCATAACAATATACTATATAAAAATGAAGTGAAATTTATTGTCTAAAGTGACTTTTGTAGATATGGATATTTATTTCTAAATAGAGGTGAGGGAAAATAAGGAGGGGGGGGTGTAATTTTTCAAGTAAATGTATATAAATAAATATATTCTCAAGAGTGCTGAGGCTATTGATTTGGAAGAGGAGCACAAATGGGATGCAAGTATGTTGTGGTGATCGGGTCTAATTTTTTTTTTCTAAAGTTTTGCCCGGCCATAATTTATTTAAACGATAGAAATTAATTTTTATAATTACTCAAAATAAACGATATATATGTTATATTGCGTCTTGTTTTCTATAAATAAAATGAAATATTTTTATTTTACATAAAAAAATTCAACATAAAGTTGATAAATTTAGGTCTAAGACCCGACCCGACCCGACCCGACCCGGTCCGAATTTTCTCAAAAAATATTCAGCCCGACCCAGCCCCAACCTGATTTTGTTATATAGGCCTTTGCAGATCTCTAGTGTGTTGTGTGGGCTAAATAAAAAAAAACTATAACTTGTGTAAAAAGATTTTAAGATTATTTGTATTTTTCAATGTATAATTAAGGTAAAAACAAGCTATAATGATTAATAAAACTTATGCAAAAAAATTAAAAACGTACTTTGACAGTAGGGCAAATTACTGTCAATCAGTGGATCATATCCACAAGAGGCACACTCAGCCCTCTTATATTAAACGGGCCCTGAGAGTAGGGGCTTGGAAATCATTACTTGTTTTTAAAAAAAAGTAAGAGAAAATACAGTTTAAAAGTTTTTATTATACAAAACATGCCTACTAATATAATATCGTAGCTATGAATTTGAACGGGAATTGGTAAAGAAAAATATAGATAATATCAAGGATGGAAATTAATGTTAATTCAAATATCAAGTTTTAGCGTTATAAAAAAAAATATATAAGAAAAATATTATATATATATAGTCCATCATCAAGCATTATGGAACTGAAGACGGTCGTACTGCTGTAAAGATAAATGCAGCCCTAACGATATACTTTGTCGGGTACGGACTTTCGATCATTTGCCTCTCCACGGCTTTCTTTATCCTTATATCCTACAAGTATATAAAAATTAACAGTCTTTAAAAAAAATCATTAATATTTTGAAATCTTTGGCGTAGTAGGAGATGGAAGAAAAAAGAAAATGATTATAGCCAAAATTTATTATCCGTTCAAAACAAGAGGGGAATAGAATCATCGGATAGATGATTTGCATTAATTTAATGTATTAGACAATGAGTAATATTGAGAAGATATATTGGTAACTCACCCCCCCCCCCATCTTGAAAATTGATTAAATATAAATAACCATAAGATTTAGATAACATGCTAAAAATTAATTAAGAGAATCTTAAAATGTTTAAAAGGCCATAAAATTACATATACAAAAAATGTAATATTTTTTTCCACCATTATTTAACTTTCCGAAAATAATGGAAAGTATAAGTCATAAACGGAGATGGATGCGTTCCTTGCACGTGGAATGAAACTATTGTAAGAAAATATAAATCATCATTTCTGTTCGTATTATAAAATGTTAAAAATTGTATGCAAATGCGTAGAACCTTTAAAATTTAGCACAGCTTCTAGGATTCCAATGGTAATATTAAGAACGCTCTTCCCAATATTGATTTTTTTTTAAGAAAAGAAAGAAAGACAAAAAGAAAGAAAGAAAGGAAAAGTGTCAATCAATAGAGGAAAAGTCTTAAAGGCTTAGGAAGAAGTGCTACTAAAACAGGGAAACTGTTAAACAGAAGAGGAAAAGGTTCAATCAAAAAAAGTAACAGTGTCAATCAAAATGAAAAAGTCCCACGATCAAACAAGAAGTGTCAAACAAAAGAGGAAAATGTCAAATAAAAAAAGGAAAAGTGTCAATCAAAAGAGGAAAAGTCTCAAAGGCTTAGGAAAAAGTGCTACTAAAACAGGAAAAGTGTTAAACAAAAAAGGAAAAGGTTCCATCAAAAAAAAGTAACAATGTCAATCAAACTGGGAAAAGTCCCACTATCAAAAAAGAAAAAGTGTCAATCAAAAGAAGAAAAGTCCCAAAGGCTTAGGGAAAAAGTCCGGCCAAAACAGGAAAAGTGTCAAACAGAAAAGGAAAAGGTTCCATCAAAAAAAGTAACAGTGTCAATCAAAATGGAAAAGTCCCACGATCAAAAAAGAAGTGTCTAACAAAAGAGGAAATGTCAAATCAAAATAGGAAAAGTGTCAATCAAAAAAAATTTCATTCAAAAAAAGAAAATTTATAAAAAAGATCATTTTGGTAAATCATTAAATCTTGAGGAAATTTTTAATATTATTTTTTTTATGGATATGATCGTTACTAGGTTAATTACAACCTAAATGATATATCGACCCATACTCAACGTATTGAGAATTTATGGAAAGATCTTAAGAGCATCCCTAGAACAGGATGATAATCTTCTTTGTCACTTATATACAGGCGAATATTTTTATTTTCGTAATATTATACATAATTTTTTTTAGCTAATATTTTCAAAATTACATTTAGTATAAAAAATTTTTTTTACAAATTTTGAGAGGGTTCTCTAAATTTTTCCGGGGGCTCTAGCCTCTGCGCTCTCCTCCCTCCCCTAGTGACGCTAACTGCAGATATGCCAAATTTAAGTAAACTAATTTCTCCATTTCTAACTCATCATTTTATATTTTTGATATAAAATAAGTTCAAAAAAAAACTGACATAGTCCTAACTTAGTAGCATCTAATAATAAAAACACCACGCCTTTTTAATATTTTTTTAAAAAATATATCTTGGGCGCATTTAAAAATATTTCTAAAACAATAGATGGACGATGGGCCGGTATATTATTTTTTTCGGAGTGAAATGAGTAGAAGAGAGTTGTGATTATTAATATTCAATTATTTTTTTAAATTAAATAATCATTATAAATAGGAGACATATTTTATAAGTTTAAATAAAAAATACATTTCAATAAATATAGGGCCAAAATCAACGGTTTTTTTTATAATTTTTTAAACATTGGGCGGATGAGCTGGTTAGACAAATCTTTAGAAAAATGGGCCGATATTAAGAAAAATTAATGGGTGGGCTTAGCGGCTTAGAAAAATTAAATCAACGAGTGGGCATCCCTGTTGGCTTAAACCACACCCTTACCTCTAATTCATTCATTAAAATACATAAAAAGTGTGTATCGTAGGCGTAGCTAGGATTTTCCTAGGGGGGGGGGAATAAGTCTGGAACAAATATGAAATATATTTTTACTAGTTTATAAATAATATAATAAATAACTTGTATATTCATTAATATAAAAGCCAATGATAAAAGCATGGTATTAATTTATTTCAAACAATTATAAGAAATTTATTTATAAAAGTAAGTAGACATATAGTTAATATTCCTCTATTATATAGAATTAGTAAAATACTAGGTAAAATTCCACTTTTACAGACATATGTGACAGTTAGAGAATATATTACAGTTAACATTTTAACAAATTTTACTAATCAATGCTCTTGATAATAAATATAACAACAACAATTTGCACTCAATTATTTAACGCCATCTATTTATTTAAAATATAAATGATATTAAAAATTAATTTTCATATTATTCATGCCGTAATGTTTTCAAAAGATATTTTCTGATATCCTTATCAATAATTTATAGTTTTCTGTAAAATATATAATTCGCTGTATTGGCAAAAACTTGATTGTCATGTGATAATTGATAAAATTAGATATACTGTAAATCTAAGACATATAATAGTACACTGTATGTATTGTGCTTTAATATTTTTATTTAATTTATGATTTAATTTTATCAATAGTTTTATAATTATATTTTACTTTTATTAAGATAAATAAATTAAAATTACTCACTTTATAAAAAATTATATTTGATATATTATATTATTTAGTAATTTAATGGATCTATTATTAATAATTATAATACATTTCCCTTTTGTCTTAAGACTTATCTTTGGCTTATATTACATTTATTAAAAAACATTTTTGGTTCATTTTACATATTTATTTTCCCAAAATTGTATAAATTATGATGAATAGTTTTATAAAAAAATATCAACTTTTACATTTCTTTCTTTCAAATTATTGTTTAAGATATATGCATACATTTTTGAGGGTCAAAGAGTGAAAGGGGGCTAAGGGGGATGTTTTTTATTAGCTATAAATGATATTTACAAAAAGTGATAAATTTTTGAAAGGGGGGGATTTCTCCTTGTCCCCCCTCCCCTGGCTACGCCCATGGTGTGTATACATGGAGGTAATAAAAAAGCATTTCAAATAAATAAGAGATATTTAGTCTAAATGACTTAATGTATACACTTTAAATAAGTGAATCATTAGCCTAGTTTGGTATTTAATGTCATTGTATCAGAGAGCCAAAAAACAACCAAATTACGATTTAACAAGGTTAAGGATACAATTAAAATAATAATAAGGGTATGGTTTTCATAATAATAATTACAAAAATCATTTTGTTATATAAATGTTTTATTAAATTTTTTTGCTGGCATTTAGTGCACCTCTGCTTAAACGTTATTTTTATTTAAAAAAAAAGGGAATTTTGAAAAATAAAGAAGACATTAATCAAATTGACCAATTAAACAGAGATTAACCCATAGGGGGTTAGTTATATACTTTCTTTTTTAAATGTATTAAAAATGCTAAATAATATTTATTTTGATTGCTCAGAAAGCTAAGATGCTCCCGCAACAAAATACACTCCCATTTGATAATGTCCTTCCTGTTGAGCGAGATTTGTTGGCTGCTGTTTTACGAGGTCTTCAGAAACCGCACTGCCATGGCAGGACACAAGATTATATCTATATCTCAACTGTTAGCGGAATTGAAACAACCTTATCAGCCGCGCCCTTTCCATTTGTCCAAAGTTCGTTATGGAATCATTTTTTGGGGAGGGGTATTATCATTTGAAACTTTATTTAGATAGATTTTTCGTTTATATTAATATATCTGAAAAATCTGAAGTGAAAGGAAGTAACAAATGCTTCTTTATAAAAGTGTTTGGATGTCAGCTAACTTCTTATCAACCCAAAATTATTTATTTGCATAACGATCAATGTAACTATCAACAAGATTATATATTTACAAATTTTTCGGGATAAAAGTTTATGACTATATTTCTATCCATCTTAATAAGCTTACATTTCGATGTCACATTTTCTTTAAGATTTGTCTGTTTAAACTTTCCACTCGTCAACCTACATATTATTCCCATTCTTTATCTGAGGCACCATCATATTCATATTCCCACCGAGTTTTGCGTCGATTGGAACCCTTATAACATCTCCATCTTTCTGCTCCGTTTATTAATGTTAAAGCTTAAATTATATAATATTCTTGCTATTTTACTCGTCCCGTAGTTATCCCATCTTTTGGTTAATCGTGCAAAGCCCTAACTTATTAGAAAATGTCGATTCTAAATATTTGAAACCATATGATTTTTACATTCAAACCATCAATATAAACCATGAATTATTATAATAATTTTTATTTTCTTGTATTTTATACCCATTCTTATATATAACTCAGTTTTCTTTATCTCTCTCCCATTCATTCAACTATCTTTTCCTCACTCACTAACAGAGTGCAATGCAGTCATTTTCAATAAAACCATTTCGTATTTTGTTTACGAGCTGATAAATAAGAGTTGTGTAGACTTATATATTTGGATCATGGAAAATTAGTTGTAATAAGTTTGAAGTACGCTAAGTTATTCCTGAGACTTCTCCGATTTAGTTGACGGGAACATGGAAGGTCTTATTCATGTTGATAAAATATATATGTGTTTTTTCTAATATTCGTGAATTTTGTTAAAACACATACTGTAACATGTAAATCAGTTCCTAAAATATTTTAATATTTTTATCTATTAACTCAAAGTAAATCATTAATTTGATGACCCAGTAGTTACTGTTTCTTTTATTTAGTATATGGAGCCCTTACCATCTATTTATATGTTTTACATTTTACAAGAGTCGGCTAAACTTTGCTAACATATCTACTAAGTCTAATTTATATCAGCACTACTAGAGCTTTAAAACCATTTAAAAAAATATTTATATACTTTTCTAAACACTTCTAATAAAACTCCTGCCATTGAGTCTCTTTATTTCCTGTCCCGAATTTAATAGCTCCTCATTGTACTCATGCCATCTATTTAATATATTTCTCAATTTTCTTTATTTCTTTCCCTAATATGTCCTTTATCAATCTTGTGTCCTTCACAATATCTCTCATACATATTGCTATCTCTTACTTTTACACCTCTCTTAACTATACCCATGATATAAGCTACGGTAACCTTGTGGTTTTATCAACCATTCCCAGGTTTTATATAATCTCTTTTTATTCTTCCAACATCTTCTCTTCCCCATCATGTGTTACTCTCTTCGTATATTAACCTACCTTGCAATTTTTCAAGAACCCTATTATGTCACTCTTCAGATTTTTGTAATGAGATTCTGCCTCTCAGATTACCAATTAAAATCGATTCCCCTAACTCAGTGCCATATGTTTCTTGCGCGCTTATTAATTTTGTTCCATTAATCATATATATTGGAGCTCATGAGCTAGGGCCTAGTGTTGCTAAAAAGCCTGATCAAGATTATGACCAAAATAATATCGTGTAAACCTGATGATCTTGCTCGTGGATGATAGAAAGGTTTAGGCGTCTACTTGCCTAAATCTTGAGGTTTACACAATATTATTTTGGCTAAAATTTCAACAGGGCCGTTTATTAAAAATTGACCCTAATCGGGCTTTTTAACAGCATTACTAGGGCCTATATTTCATACATCAATTTAAAATCTATTGCCAATTTATTTTGACATGCTCTACACCTGATTCGCTATTAAGTTTTCTTTATTTAGGCCGCATTCATAAGGGAATTCGATACGACAACAGCTGATTGATTTTTAAAATCTGTTTATGAGATCAATTTTTTGTAAAATAATTTTTATTTTATCTTTAATTCCATACATGATAATAATCTAAGAAATATTGGTTTTAATAAATAAAAATTGGTTAATCGATCAGCTGTTAAATCGTGTCGGATCGGATCCTACTATGAATGCAGCCTTATTCCTTGGAGTCATTTTATATGATTTTTATAATAATCAATCTTATTCATTGGAGTCCAGGATATTGGCAGGGAAGGGAAGACTATTAAATATGTTTTCCCTATAAAGGCGAGACATTATAGTAGACATCGTAACTTTTACTCATCAGACAAATTTCTGAAGAGGGCCCGAGCCGCCCATCCTTTACCCTTAGCTACGTCTATGCTGTATAGATAAATTCTTATATTATATATTTTGTTTAACAATCATATGTTTGAAAATTATTTTGAGAATAACCACTAAAAAAAATAAAAGAGGAATTAGTATATTAGGAACAATGCTGGTCTACATATCATTTTTAAAATATTAAATATTTATTAGGTATCGATTTGCAACACCTTATCAACATTCTACATCTACTTCCACACTACGACATTCTTTTGGATGTTCGTGGAGGGCATATACCTCTACCAGGTTTTGATAATTGACTTTCCGGGGAAAGTGTTCTCCATGAAATATTACTACATCATTGGATGGGGTAAGTTTTCTAAAAATATAAATTTTCTTAAATGTATTTTTTTGTAGGTGTCGTTTAACGGCACGGTAAAACTCAATATTTCATCCAGAAAAATACTACGCCAGTCTGAAAATTTAGTTGCTCATAGAAGGAACAAAGGTCTTTACATATATTATCGTAATCTCGAGGCTTAGGCAATATTTTTCTAGCTAAAATATTGAGTTAGCCGTTTAAAAAATCGGTTTAAAACGAGTAGTTTAAACAACACTAGTTTTTTGGCAGAAAATTTGGTTAAACGCAGGTGAGTAAAAACGAAATTTATGGGAAAATAATGATGATTGGGAGAAAAGGAGACTAAATACTGTATTTAGTGATGCTTAGTCACCCTAACTAGGGCCAATTACTATATGACCTAGCCCATCTTATAACCTAAAAAAATTAGCTTAGATCTTCTAAGTTGATTGCCAACTTTGAAGATTAAGATCATTTTTTTTAGTATTAAAACTTGGCAGTTTACAAAATTTTAGTGATTTAACCAATACTGACTGTATCCTTATATTTTTATAAGTTATGTATTCTTCTTTATAAGCATAATAAATTTCATGAAATGTAGCATATATGTTATATGTTATTAAATTTTTTTATTTTAATATTAATTGGAGGTCGGCCCTGCGATCTGGCTAAATTAGAATTTGCCAGATAACTTGTACATTGGGCTGGGTCAGAAGTTTTTAAAAAATTTTTAAAGCGTTAATATCTATTCCCTTTATAAGAATTACTTGGGAGTCGGACAAGTCTTATAATATTGTTTTCCTGGGCGAAGGGGATTCGATTTTCCCTCCAGGATGAACAAACAATCTAATTCTGGGTTCGTGCCGACCTCTAAAATCTTAATCGATCCTCTCCAGGCGCCCAGCAATGAATTATTTAAAATTATGTATAGATATTATTTATTTTAGCAGAAAGTAAACCATTAATTTTAAAAAAGATATCGTAAAATATTTTTATCTATTAATATAAGCGAAATTTTTAAGTGTATTTGATTAACATTTTTAAAATAACTTTTTGGGACATATAGATTAAGGAATTGGTCTATACTCCACGGTCATCTGGGGAATAAATTTACTTGTTTCGTGGAAGATTGTTAAAGCGTGCAAGAGATTGGAGAGGGCCTGACCTCTAAGTAACAGGCGTTAACGAATTTTTGCATGAAGCATCCATAATTCTTAATAAATGACTTCAATGGGTTTAAAACTTGGATCATTTATTTGTGAATATTTAATTAAAATTGTAATATTTGTCTAGATAAATACTATAACTTTCCACATGTTCATAAACATTACAATATAATGGAATAATTGTTGAAATTTTTGAATGATGTTCCTTTCAGAGAAGAGAAGATTCTGTTTTGATATAAAAATCTTTCAAATCCTACATTATTTTTAATCAAATATATGTCTTCCTTCAATTTTCATGAGTCATGAAAATTGAATTTAAAAGAAAAAATTATGTAGAGATAGATTTGAAAAAAAAAATGAAATTTACACATTTTAAATTTTGTTTTATATAATTATCAGAAGACCTGCAAAGAATCTTTCTTATAGGCCTCCAAATTTTTTGATGTCTTGAGAATATCGTGGCTATGTTAGAATTTTTGCAACTAGACCAGACTTATTGGCCATGGCCTGTATATCCCGGTCTAGTTTACGTTGAAATAAGCAATCAGTTTACATAATATTTAGAGAATTCACTCATATTTTATGCCCTAAAATAATTTATATTAAAAAGTGCATCAATGAAAGTTCTTTGTTAAAAAGAAAAATATATAGGTTACCAATTTTTTTCCCCCATGAATTTCGTTTTTCGATTGTCTATCTTGAACCAATTTAAAAATAACCTTCTCCACCTTTTTTGGTTTAGAAAATCGATTTTCGCGCCTTGATTAAGTATCCGTAATTAAGTTAAATTCTTTTATTTGGATCGGCACAAAACTTTATTAAACACATGTGTTTTTAAAGGGCTAACTCAAAATTTCATCCAGAATATAATATTACTCAAGTCTGAAGATTTGGCTTGTAGAAGGGAACAATGGTTCGGACATCTATTATCGAAATTTCATGGCTTAGGCAATATTTTTCCGGCTAAAATATCGAATCGGCTCTAAAGGAGTCGTTTAAAAACACTATTAAAACTATACAGGACTAGTTATAATAGGAAAATAATGAGTAAGGACTATACATTTAAAGGGAGAAACGTTATAGATTATAAGATACCGAAAAATTGTAGACTTAATTATTGTACATTCCCCCCTTTTTTTAGGCCTACCATTTGCATTTGCCGTGATTTGGTATTTGACTAACAAGATAATGTACCATCACACGTAAATATTATATAAATATATTATAATTTAGACTTTTGTCATTTTTTTTTTTCAAAATCATTTTTCATTTCTTTTAGTATTAAAAATGTAGATAGGACATTTATATTGTAATAATGATTCATTATGAGTTTGAAAAAAAAAGGTCACAAATTGACTAAAAAAAATATAGATTATATATGATTATAATCTTTTTTTTTATCTTTCAGATGCGTTCTAATCTTGAAGATCAATCTTCTGCATTACATTTATGTCGTGCCAATATTCATCGTCCTTTTAGTATTTTTTTTTACAAATATATTTAAATTGTCCACTCTATTTTCTTAGATAAATTTTTATATACTTGTCAAAATACTCAAATTAATGGTGGACAAAATTTATTCTAAGAGCCAAAGACGAGCCCATAATTGTTTGTAAGTTTGGTATTAAATTTTTCTTTCTTTTCTTTTCTTTTCTTTTCTTTTCTTTTCTTTTCTTTTCTTTTCTTTTCTTTTCTTTTCTTTTCTTTTCTTTTCTTTTCTTTTCTTTTCTTTTCTTTTCTTTTCTTTTCTTTTCTTTTCTTTTCTTTTCTTTTCTTTTCTTTTCTTTTCTTTTCTTTTCTTTTCTTTTCTTTTCTTTTCTTTTCTTTTCTTTTCTTTTCTTTTCTTTTCTTTTCTTTCTTTTTCATTCTTATCATGTAAATTTGATTTATTATTAAAGCCACATTCATAATTCATTAATTAATTAATTTATTCATTATATTTTATAATTTTCTAAAGCAAATTTATCAAGGGTTTCTTTTGCTTGTCAACTATCTTAGGAGCTTCCTATATTATAACACTGTACACACCTTCGAATGGCCACAAAACGATATTGTCATCCTATGTATTACCATTGCTTATATCTACGCAGGTTTTAACGAAGCAAATTCTAATAATCAAACAATTACAATATTTTATTTATTATCTTTAAACAGGGAATATTAGTTTCGCTTTACTGCTGTTTTTGCAACCACGAGGTTACAATTTTTTTTTATATATACTCTCAACATCATAATGTTCATTCAAATAATAATGATTTGTATATTATTTTAAAACTCTACAAAAATTTATTGTATACAATTCACCTTTAGAGGGTGGTCCGCAACGGAGCCCAAAAAGCTCCGCCCACTAGTTAATTATAAATTTTGTTTACCCTAACCCTCCAAATGTTCAAAAATTATTTTAATGGCTGGTTTCGGCTCTGTATTCATTTGTTTTCACGTAACTCTTAATTAAACGTATATGATACGCAATTTTAACAAGTTGAAGTCTGTTTCGCTCATTTCGCCTGAAAAAAAATATTAAAAATTCACGGGCTCAGGTCCGCCCATTACTTAAAAAAGTTTATAGACCGGCCCGCTACCCGCTCATCGTTGAAAGTATTTTATAAAACCTGATCACGCATGGGTGGTGGGAGCGGGTGTTCTAAAATCCTCAAATTGCGGACCCTCTACTTCACGTATACATTACATAAAAGACGTAAATTGACTTCATATAAATGAGAATATTTTAAAATAAAACCGCGTTGATTTTTCTTCATCAGATTAAAATCGTCATTTAAATTTCTTAATTATTATATATCAAATTTTCTGGATTTTTATTTTTGGGAATTATATTTATGTTTCCATCTAGCCTTTATGTATGTCACCAATTATATTTAATATAACCAAAAAAAAAACTTAATTTTTAGGTTAAAAGAGTAATATGGAAACATCTAAAGTCTTGTAGGGAGTCCAAATGTTTGTGTCCATCTTGCCGAAGCCGGCTTAGCATTGATCCCTTGAAAAATTCCAAGATGGACTCCCCAGATTACCATCCAATAGTGCATCACGGTTCAATAGGTTCAGCAACTACTGAAGAACAAAAAGGGTGCGCTCTTATACCCTTATTGGCCCGTAGAATTCATCATTCCGACAAAAACAAAAATTCTAAGCAAAAATTCGCAAAGTCTAACAAAGACAAACATTCAATAAATATAATTATTAAGCCCACCTACCCAACGAATATTAAACTTGTGATAGAAGGTTCAGAAGAAATTTGAATTTTGAATCTCTTATATATAACAAAAAAAATGTTTAACATTATGTTGTTTGAAACTATATTATTTATCATTCGCCAAAGGTATACACTACTATAATATCATCTAAAATATGACATAGTACTTATATAATATTTTAAACTGAATCGTTAAATCTAACACTTTATCTTATATTTTTAGTGATGTTGTATGTGTAAGTAATTCACGAATTTAATATATATATTTATATAATATACAGTTTAAAAAGAATAACTTTCAGAATATTAGTTCACAATAATAAATAATATTACATTTAAATGATATAAATAAAACTTTGTTAATTTATGGAGAGAACAGAAGGTGTATAAATTATATTCAATCTTAGTTTATATTATTATTATTATTATTATCGATAAAAAGAAGGCGGGGGGGGGGGGGGTATAGATTTAGAAATTCAGAGAATAAATGTTCAAAGAAGATTTTGTAACTGGAAATCTGAACTAGGGGCAAAACATAGGAACGTGAACTTGAACCTTTCAAAATATTTAATGAACCAGACGAATTTTAAAATTTTCAGCAACCATGACAGGTTCTAGCTCTAGTGAAACTAGTGTTGTTAAAGTTACTTTTGAAACATAACTAGTAACTGTAACCAGTTAATACATGTAACTAGTTATTAGTTACATTTACATTATAAGTTACTTTTTGGTTCTAATAAATTTTAAAATTGTCTATTAATTCTAAAAATAGGTTTAAGGTTATGTATTAAAAATTAATGATTTTTTCACTCAAGTATTTGCAAATATGATATTTATATATACAGTTGTTGCAAATTATTTTAAACTTATTGCAAATATATATATATTCTTAATGTCAATTCAAATAGAACTGTATAATATTGGAGTTTTTTTTGTCAAGAAAATTGTGATAATAAGAATAATACGGAAAGAGTATTAGATAATTTATTTTTTACTTAATTATATATGCATGCATCCTATTGTATAATTTGGAAAACACTTTAGATCATGGAATTTACCTATTTTTTTTGGAAGGCAAAAAAATCCTGAACAAGAGGACCATGACAAAAAATACCCTAGATAATTCCCCAATTTTCAAAAAAATTAAATTAGCATATAGAATGAAGGTTATTTGAGTAATCATTTGTTGAAGGAAATGATATTTGATATCTGCATTTAATATTTTGTTATTTCTATCATAGTCTTTGTCTTTGTCTTTTTAGTGAGTATAATGGTGACTAATTTAGCATTTTATACAAAAATTATTTAATTCCAAAATAATCTAAATCTTTGTCTTTCCTTATAGTAAGTTTTATGCATTAATTTAGCAAAATTTCAAAAAAAATTAATTTATAACTTATGAAATTCCAGAGTGTAAATATTGCCAGCAACTTGAGAATATGTAAAAATATTATACTAAATTATGTAAGGAAATATAATATTAAAAAATAGGTTTATTACTTGAATTAGCTTACAAAATTATAAAACACAGCAATGTAACAATTTAAGAAAAGAAAATCTATTTCCACATATCATTTGCGAACACAATCAGACATTTAAACAAAATTTTAAATTTAATTTAGAATTAATTTAGCACAAAGCTAGTCCCTTGGAACCAAGGACTACCCCTCGCTTGGGATTATACATGTGCAGATCATTTTGCCAGATATTTTACTGTTAATTCCATCACTAAACTGAAGATACAAAAAATAAATATAGCCACCTTTAATCATTTGTTTGTTAGGGTAGTCTCAGACACCTGTGGATCATTCTTTCAAAATAATAGAGCAAAGGTTACGTTTAATCACAGGCGATGCTTCTACCTACGACAAAGAATATCAATAAATTTGTCGATCCAACTTTATGTCTATACATGGGTCATTAAGCCCAGCCGACCAAACCTAAATATATTATTTTTATTTCTCTTCTCTTAATTACATATTTTTATAAAGTTATTGTATATTAATAATAATTTTAATATTCTTTTAATAAATGATCAATTCACATATTAAAAATAAAATTAATTATTTGAATATATTATTTAGATTTATACATATATATATTTTTAGAAGTAACTAGTTACTTTTGGCATTTACATTAAAAAAAATAAAACTAGTTACAGTTAGTAGTTACAATTTATAAAATATTACTAGTTACAGATATTTTTTAGCAAAATAGTAACTTTAACAACACTAAATAAAACTTTATATATGTGTTTACACAATAATTATTTAAAATAGCTATTTGACATCCTATTTGCGAGATATTTAGCCTAAATTTTCTGGATATTTTTTTTTTCATGCCCAATAACGAAGGAACCGAGAAAATTTTGAACTTTAAATTTTTTTAGGAAACTCGAAAAACCGTAACCGTATTTTATCAGAACCCTAAACCTTTCTTAACGTGTTTCAAATTCTGGTTTAAAATAATCTATAATGTGTCATGTGATCTATAATATGATATATTTTTTTTAACTCCATGGCAACTCAATGAATGTGTGATTACAGAAGCTATTAAAACTAACAATATTTGTAATTAAAGAATGCATAAATTATACAAACAACATTTTAATGCTTATAATTTATGTTTAAATTTTTATCTTTTGAAGTTATAATGCGCCCAAGCACATATTGTTCAACGCAGCCTTTCAGAAACGCAAATTAAAAAACCGCAAACGCAAAATTGAAGCGTTAATTATTATTTTTTTTTTAATACGACACGTCTAAATTTTAAACAAAAAAAAATGATGTCCAGTTTAAACGAATGCATTTAGCTGCCCCGAATAGCCCCTGGACTCCTCCTATAGTGAGATATTTGGTAATTAAATTTGATCATCATGCTGGGAACTTATTCCTCAGCTTAATCATTTAATCAAGAATTATTTAATTTAATATCAATTACCACAATTCCAGTGTTGTTAAACGCTACTTTTAAAAATAGCGCGCTACTGCTATCGCTACCGCTATCGTTTTCAAATGAGTAGCGCGCTATTAGCTACTTTTTACGCTATTTTGATTTATTTTAAATCATATTTTTTACGTAACTCTATTTCCACAAATAATATATTGGTATAAAAACATGAATATGATTTGTTACATATATATATATAATTTATTTATTATCGCACTTTAATAATAACATTTCGGTACTGTCATCCCCAAGTCTAGAGCGACGATCAGAAAGTATCAGCTTTGCCATACTAAATAATCTTTCGCACTAGCACTTGAGGGCAAACACAGTATTTAATTTAATAAACACACTTTTTATATGAAAAAAAATGATCAAAAATATTTAAATGAGTATTTTTAGATTTAAAAAAAGCATTTAGAGGTTCAATAATATTATTATTATTATTTATTTCAAAAAACAGTCTATGGAAGGCTGCGGTTTCGATCTTGCTATAGTATCGTGGTTAGGCATGCCATTTTTTAACGTTACCATCAGCCTATCAAGTTGCCCTTTAGATTCAGTCAAATTAATGTATGGCCAATTTAACTTGAAACTAGGATGAACGATGGCAGCTTATTACATTATCATCATCATACAGATCTGGAAATCTAATTTATATAAAGCGATTGTATTTATTATAAATATAAGAAGAATACCTTTTTAATTTTCAAAATTTAAATTTATCTGAGATTTAGATTCATTTATAAAAAAATATTAAAATAGCATTAAATTATAGTAAATTAAGATTTTAAAAATATAATTATTATAAACAAGGTAATTAATAATATATTAGTTTTGAATTTTATATTAATACTATATAATAATATTATAGATTGTATTGTAAATTAAGCCAATTTAAATTATGGCTAATCAAGCAATAAATCATTCATTTTATATAATTGTATAATAGAAAATAAAAATAAAGTTTTAACCTTTTCTCAATGCCTTTTAGCATAGACTCTACCAGTGGTTTGCAAAATTTTCTTGCATTGAAACCGATATCCAGTCGTAATTTTTTCTTCAAGATTAAAGTACTTTTTGAATTTTAGGAAAGGATAATCTATTTCCATTTTCCAAAGAAATTTCGCTATCTTCAAACAATCTCACACATTTTTAATAACTATTAATGCTAACTAAATTTAAATATAAATTTAAATTTCAAAATTAAATTAAATAAAAGGATTATCATTTTAGATTTAATAAAAAATATATTTTAATAATTTTTGGATGTATTTATTATGTAAAATTGAAAGTAGCGAAGTAGCGCGCTACTTTGCTACTTTCTAAATTAGTAGCGAGCTACCGCTATCACTATTTTCTAAAAAAGTAACCTACTAAAGCTACCGCTACTGAAAAAAGTGGCGCGCTTTAGTAGCTATTTTAACAACACTGATAAATAGTATAATAATACAATTAACAATAATATTATCATATAATATATCCTAAAGGTTTAACTTTGATATGACCATATTATATAATATTAATACAAAAATGAATAGTCTTGTTTGTTATAGCAATTTACATAAAAACCTTCCTTTTACTTATCAATACTTTATTATTCTAATAAGCAAATATTTTTAAATGAAAACGAAAATTTATCCCTTTAACTATGGCTCCAAATTTTAGAAAAGATAGTGGAGACCCAGCTACTTATGAGCCTAGGGTTATTACAAGTTTTTTATGATTATTATTTTTTTGCCATAAATATATTATGTTTACAATTTTTATAACAGAAATAAGCCTATTGAAAAACGAATCGAATGATGAATTATTACATCCGATTCTTTTAAACGAATTTAATCATTTCCAATTCGTAATTTTATGGTTAATATTCATACGAATATACAAAAATTATTCTAATTATTTAAACGATTTAATTCGTATTCGTTTTGAATAGCTTAAACATGATGTATGTCGTATGATATGATTTGTATCTTTAAAAGTATCTTTTCAAATGATTACTTAAATATTTAACCTCTCCTTATCCACATAATGGTACACTGTCCCGCATGCTCTAAAAACTTAAAA